GGAGCATTGATCTGTCAGTCCTTTCAGATTTGTGCTTTCCTTACCATAGATTTCTTTTGTGTCTTTTTATCCAGTCCAGCAGCTTTTCCTGTCTTTACCTTCTTTAGTAGCATTTCCACTTATCATAAGATTATAGTATTTAGGGCTAGAAGGAACTTGAGAGATTATCAAGTTCAATTACCTCATTTTACATAGTTAATCTAGTTGTGCACTAGACCTGGAGGCAGGAAGACCTGAGTTTAAAATCCAGCCTCAAACACTTACTAGCTATATGATCTTGGGCAAGTCACTTAACTGGTGTGCCTCAGTATCCTCAACTGTAAAATGGGGATTATAAAAACACCTACTTCGAAGGGTTGTTATGAGGCTCAAATGAGATATTTATAAAAAGTATTTAGCGCAGTGCCTAGCATATAGTAGGTGCTATATAATTGCTCATCCCCTTCCTCATCTGAACAAAAATGTCTATCATGCACAAGGCATTGTGCTAGATTCTGGGGGATACCAAGGCCAAAATGCCCTCAAGGATCTTACATTGTGGGGCCAGAAGAGGGAAGATAAAAGAGTACACAGAAAACATAAAGTATATACAAAGTAATTAATTTTAAAAGGTAGAGAGCATCAACAACAGAGGGGACAAGGAAAGGCCTCACGTAGGAGACAGCATCTAACTGGACCATTTAAAGAAGTTAGGAATTCTAAGGGGAGTAAATGAAGAGAGGTTGCATTACTGACATAGGGGGGTAACTGTTCAAAAGACACAGAGGGCAGTGACATGTCATACATGGGGGAAGCTAGGAGACCTAGTCTGCGTACATGAAATAAAAAGGGAAAGTTTAGTGGAAAGAGGATGTCATATTTTATTCCAGGGGCAGTAGGGAGCCATTGAAGGTTTCTGAGCTCTTGGGAATCCTTAAAAAAACAAAACAAAACAAAACACAATAAAAAACTTTCACTTTACTCTGCCATCTCCTCAAGCTATCATCCTGTATCTTTCTTCCCTTGGTCAAATTCTGAGAAAAGGTAACTTTTATTTCTACCTCTCCTTTATTGCCTCTAACTCACTTATTTTTTTATTATTAAACAATTTTCCCCTCCCTGCCACCTACCCTCCTCAAAAAAAGAGAAAGAAAGAAAATTCTTATAACAAATAAGCACAGTTAAGCAAAATAAATTTCTTATATTGACCTTGTGCTAAAATGTGTCTCATTTGACTTTTGTCAAATTTGACTCATTTGTCCGTCACCTTTCTGTTGATCCTCTGAAATCATGATTGATAATTAAATTGATCAGATTTTTTCAGTCTTTCAAAATCATTTGTTATTTATAATGTTAATATATAGTATAAATTGTTCTGGTTCTGCTCACTGCACTCTACATTAAGTCCACACAAATCTTCCCAGATTTCTCTGAAACCATCTTTCTCCATTTCTTCCAACATGATAGTATTCCATTACATTCATATACAGCAATTTGTTCAGCCTTTCCCTCAATTGATGGGTACTCCTTTAGTTTCCAGGTTTTTTTGCCACAGAAGAAAGAACTGCTTTATATATTGTTGTCAATTTCCCATTTATTTCTCAACTCTTTGCTGTAAGACTTCTTGCCTCCCTACTCAAGTGAAATTTCTCAGTCTAGTTACTAATGATAAATAGGCAAAACAAAATCCAAAACCTTTCCTCAGTCCACATCCTTCTTGACCTATAAGATGACACAATTCTTAAAAACCCCCTCCTCATGAAGACTCTTTTTCCTGAATGTTCACGCTGCCACACTTTCCTAGCTCTCTTCATTCCTGTCTGTCTGCTCCTTCTCAATCTCCTTTGTTGTTTTATCACTCACATCCTGCCCCTTAAACTGGGATGGAACCACACAGCTCTGTCCTTACTCTTCTCTTTTCTCTTTACCCTCACTAGGTTATTTCATCAGTTCCCATGGTTTCAGTTATCATTTCTATGCATTTAACTCCTATATCTATATATCCAGTCCTAATTATTTTCCTGAGCTGGAATTCTACCTAACTCCCTGATGTCCCTTAAGTATCTTAAACTCAACATGTCAAACCAGAACTCCTTTCTTTCAAGTTTCCTTATTTCTGTTGAAAACACTACCATTCCTCTAATCAGCCCAGTTTTCAACCTCAGGTGATTTTCTTCTCTTCCATCTTCCTCATCCCCAATATTTAAAATGTTGCCAAGACTTACTCATTCCAGCTCAACAATATAGTTAGTGCCTGTCTCATTCTCTCTACTTATATGGCTCAAATCTGAGATCAGGCCCTCAATAACTCTTACCTGGATTATTGCAACAGCCTCTTAATTGTTATCATTGCCTTGTCTCTCCCCTCTTAAATCCATCCTCCACATAGGTGTCAAAATAAACTTCCTAAGCCATAAATCTGACTATCTCACTCCTCTGATCAAGAAATATCATGGATTCCCTATTGCTTTGCTAAAGGCTGTTAAGAAGTCCCCTGAACTTGTCTTTATGAGTTGCCATATTTTCCAGAAACACTGGACCCAGAGCATGCAGGAGGCCCTGAATGAATCAAGGACAGAGCCCCTTCCCTCCAGCTGACATAATTTGTTCTTTACACCCTTAGCTAGATTCCCTGTGTTTCCTTGGGAGGGAAGGCAAGCACCAGTCAGTCTGTGCCAGACCAGGAAAATGCTTCTACAGGTGGGGTCTTTTGCAGATAAGCAGACCCTCCTCCTATCTTCATAGTCTAGCAGTTCCCAAGCAGTTTGCCTATTCCTCTGTGACCAGAGGGGTCTTGGCCTCTTTCCAGGCTTTACTGTACCTATCTCCTCCCATGCCACACCCCTTCCTGTTTTGTCCCCCTCCTTTACTGTCATAAATATGCAAACTTCTCTAAGGACTGTGAACTCTTTGGGTTCCACATGCATGTTCATTTCTCTTATAATAAACCCAGTTTTCACATAAGCCTTGTGATGTTGTGATTGCCTAGAAGTTGACAGCTTCTAGGATAAAATGCAAACCCTTCAGGTTAATATACCCTTTGTAATCTTGCTCCAACCTACCTTTGAAAGCCTATTTCATGTTATTCCGCTTTACACATTCTGTTTTCTAATCAAACTAATCTTTTCTGCCTCCATATTCCTGCATAGGCTAGGACACTTGTAAGGGCCAACTTCCCAGGCCTTGAATGCCTCAAATCCCCTTCATTCTCAGAATCCCCAGCTTTAATATTAAATCATGTGTAACCTCAGTCTTTCCTAATCACCCTTGTTCTTACTGTTATTTCAAATCATGTGTAACCTCAGTCTTTCCTAATCACCCTTGTTCTTACTGTTATTTCTCTCTTCAAATAATCTAATGCCTCTAATATAGGAAATTGATTCCAAATTTATAAGACTAAGAACCCAGGTGATAAATGGTCAAAGGATATGAAGACACATTTTTCAGAGGAAGAAATTCAAACTATCAATAGACATATTTAAAAAATGCTCTAAATCACTAATGATTAGAGAAATAAAAATTAAAGCAACTCTGAAGTTCTATCCTACACCTATCATATTGGCAAAGTTGTCAAAAAAAGGGAAATTGAAAAATGCTTGAAGGGCTGTAGGAAAACAGGTGCATCAGTGCATTGTTGGTGGAATACTAAATTTGTCTAGTCATTCTGGAAAGTTGTTTGGAGGGACAGCTAGGTGGCGCAGTAGATAGAGCACCGGCCCTGGATTCAGGAGGACCTGAGTTCAAATCCGGCCTCAGACACATAACATTTACTAGCTGTGTGACCCTGGGCAAGTCACTTAACCCCATTGCCTAGCCCCGCCCCCAAAAAGTTATTTGGAACCATACCTTAAGAGCTATTAAAATGTGCAAAGCCTTTGACTCAGTTATACCACAGAGCAAAGAAAAAGGAAGAGGATGCATTTGTACAAAAATATTTATAACAATTCTTTTTGTGTTGGAAATTAAGGCGCTCTCCATCAATTTGGTAACTACTATTGTTTTGTAAAAAATGAGGAGGGAGAGGAGAGATGAAGGAAAAGAGGAGGGAAGGGAGAAGAAAGGGAGAGGGGGAAAAGGAGGGAGGGGGAGGAGTTGGAGAAAATAGCAGCATTCCCCAACTTCTGCTCAAATTGTCCATTTGCGTGCCCAGAGGGCAGCTACTACTATGCTCAGATAACACGATAACATGCTAAAAGCCAGTTAATAGAAAACATTCTCTTAAAACCTGGTTCACTCCTTCCCATAAATACACACAGCATCCATGGGAGGAGTAGACTTAAACTTTGACCATAATAATACTGAGGCATTCATGTAAGAAGTATGTGTGACAAAGGTTTCACTCACAACACCTGCTCTGGAAGTCCTTCTCTCTGTGTAGAGATGTCATGCAGAAACTTTTAATGAAGGAATTATTTCCAAATCAACTTATCTTTTCACTCAGGCTATCATCTACTTTTCCTGCTCTAAGGTAAATCTTTTTTTAAATAAATAAAATATTTTTTATTGTATTATATTATATTTATATTGTATTTTATAATCTATTATTCTGTTCTACTTATATATTTATAATATTTTATATTGTATTATATTATATTTTGGTTTTGTATAATGATCACTTGTCAACAATATCCTTCCCTACAATATCTTGCCCAGAGGTTATCTAGTCCAATTCCTTCATTTAAAAGATGAAGCTAGGGGCAGCTAGGTGGTGCAGTGGATAGAGCACCAGCCCTAGAGTCAGGAGGAACTGAGTTCAAATTTGGCCTCAGATACTTGATATTACCAGCTGTGTGACCTTGGGCAAGTCACTTAACCTCATTGCCCAGCCAAAAAAATAGATGAAGCTGAGACCTAGGGAGGTTAAGTGGTGATATCTAAAATTCTTCCAGCCCTCAAAGACGCTATTCTAATATCTTAGATGCTTGGCACTATGTAAACACAAATTTTATTAAATGTTCAATGCTTTGGTAAGGTATCAAAATTTGTTTTCATTTGACATCTAAATAAAAAAAAGAAATAACCTTCATTGTCTTCCAAGCAGTTAATGCCTGTGAGGTCTTCAACAAGCTGAACATATGTAGCTTCACGAAGAATACTCAGAAATTTAGAAAACCAATCTTCTTTTTGCACTATTCTGCTTAGCAGTTCCCTGACAGCACGTTCATTTCCATAATTTTCATCAAGATGAACAACCTAGTTCAAAGAGAAGAATAGAATTAAAGAATCTAAAACTTCTTAACAAATCCAAAATTATGTTAATAATTACCAGAAAAAAGTTTGTAATTAGTCACAAATATAAATAAAGACTCAGATTAGGACAAAGAAATTAGGATGTTGCTACCTAGCAAAGAGACAGCTCTTACCACCAAAAGCAATGGTTTCCAAACTTTAGGGAGTAACACTCTCCCTTTTTAAATAAAGGAATGATTGAATAAGTGTAATAATAAGTAAGTGCAATAAATGAGTGAAATCATCACTTAATTCATTTTTCTTAAAATAACATATGAATATTTCCTTAGTCAATATTTTGCTTAAAGTTAAGAACATTAGAAATTTATAATACAAATTATTATATGTACAATAAAAGATATAAAATGCATAATTTCTGCAATCCACTTACTGTAATATGACCAAAGATTTAGAAACAAAAGGGATCTTTGAAGTCATCTAGTTCAACTCCTTCATTTTACAGTTAACTTAAGAGGCTCAGTTGTCCAAGTCAAAGTAGGTAATAAGAGGCAAAGCCAGGCTTTGAACTCGGGTCCCTCTTATCCAAATCTAGCATGCTTTCCAATACATCATGCTGCATCCCAAAGAGGACAGTGAAAACACGATAGTAATAGGCACCCTTTAACCTTCCCTCCACTGCCACTCAAATTTTTTAAATCTTACAGGTATCTGGGGTTAGGGGTGAAGGAAAGGCTATTATACCATTTAATCAAGCTCTTTGATACTATTTACAGTTTTTTTTATTTTAATAAATATGATAATCATTGCTACCTTTACATAGTGCTTTAAGGTGTGCAAAGTGCTTTACACATGCCATCTTATTTTGTCCTGACAACAACCCTGAGAGGTAAGTGTTATTATTATCCCCATTTCACAGATGAGGAAACAGATGAGGCCGAAAAAGGTTATATAACTTGCCCAGGGTGACGCAGTTTTTAAATATCTGAGAGAGAAGTCAGATCTTCTGACTCCAAGAACAACTCTCTATCTGCTACACTGCCTACAAGCTTAATCTATTCTCTTAAACAGTACATAAAAGATGACTTTTTTTCCTACCATTTATCATTTTCTAGCTTGATGCTTTTAAAATCTCTTTTTTATATTACTAACTCCCTGAAATTCCCTCTGTAAATTCCTTGTTCCCTCGTATTTATATCACATGTACTACTATCTGCTGATTTAAGAGATAATTGATAAAGATGTTCATTATCACCAGAATGTACACCTTCTCTTAACCTAAGACATTCCCATCTTTCATTTACACTGCCCTTTAATCACTTTTCAATCACTCTGATAGAGCTCATACACAAGCAAATCAGAAAGTATTTCTCTAATAAGAATGAATAATTATAATGAATATCTTATTAAAAGTCTAGTCTATTACTTTTCATTCTACTTTTAATCTGCTAATATGATTTTAAAAAGCAATCACATTTGTGATTTTTTTGTCTTCCCTGAATCCATAAGACTGAGCCTCAAAATACTATTATTCCTTAAAGATTTTGTTTTGTTTTAATATTCATATGAAACTCTTTATCCCATTTATATAACTTGGGCAGCCTAATCAATATCCTGGTAAATAAATCCTCCACTTCGGGTGTTGGCAAACTTATCAAATCCTTGGGAAGCAATAGTTCTACCTAATTATCTATTGAAAAGAGCCTAAAGAAATCTAATTTTCATATATATGTACATATACTTGAAATAAATATGCATACACATATGTATATACAAGTTGCCACTAAACTCCTGAAAAGTAATTGAAACCTGAAGATACAGTAGTTAAAAAAGCAAACAAAAACAAACAAAAAAACCTGAAAAATTGTCAAAGGATATAAGCAGGCAGTTTTCCAAAGAAGAAATGTCTAGGAAGCTACCAACAACCATTGGAAAGAATTCTCCTGACCACTACTTGTAAGATAAATGCAAATTTAAATAACTGGTTTTGCCTCACTACTAGCGAACTGGGGGGAAAATGAAAAGGATGAAAATTGTCAATGCTGGTTTTATGAGTTGGTAGGAACACTAAAAAACAAAACAAAACAATAACCAACTTTCGTATGGTGGCCAACATTTTGATGATGAGTTTTTTCTATCATTAGGTAGGTTGGTCCTCAAACAAGCAGCACTCAGTCCTTCTTAGGGCCTATACAAAGCTGATCTATGAGGCCTTACACTAATGTCCCATGCTAACATGAATCCAACATCACTTCCACACCACGTTGAGGTCTTGGAGTAAGGGTTCTATAAAGGACGCATGGCAAATGCTAATTAACTATAAAGCTTTGGTATTTATCAGGATCAAAGTTAAGGGGAAACTTAAGGAAGTTTATTTAGCCACAGTTGGGAAAGAGGTCAACAAGGTTATAGCATGGATTCAGTTGGGCATAGCCTCCTTGCCTCTATGTTGGCCATTTTGACACTCCAGATTATTCTCCTAAAGTTTTTGTACAGACGAGCTTATGATTATTAATATCTGGATTGCTTTTTTCAATAGTAATAACAATCTGTGATTGTTTTTAAAATTCCCTCCTCAGGATGTCCAGCAATTGGGAAATGGCTGAACAAATTGTCATATGTAACTGTGATGGAATATTATTGTGCTATAAGAAATGATGAGCAGGATGCTCTCAGAAAAACCTGGAAAGTCTTACTGAAGCTGATGCAAGTTAATGTACTGTGTACAAAGTAACAGCAATATTGTAAGATGATCAGCTGTGAATGACTTAGCCATTCTCAGCAATGTAATGATCCAAGACACCTCTGAAGGACTTATGATGAAAATGCTATCCATCCCCAAAGAAAGAACTGATGGTGTCTGAATACAGAATGAAGCATACTTTTTTTTAAACTTGTTTTATTTTTCTTGAGGTTTTTTTTTTGGTCTATGTTTTCTTTCACAACATGACTAATATGGAAACATATTTTGAATGACTACACATGTGTAACCTATATTGAATTGCTTGCCTTCTCAATGAAGCTGTGGGGAGAGAGGAAGAAAGAGAATTTAGAACTCAAAGTTCTAAAAATGAATGTTAAAATTGTTTTTACATATAATTGGGGGAAAATAAAATAACAAAAAAGAACTTATTACAAAGAAAGAAAGCCATATGAAAAAATTCTAGTGTTAATTAGTAAGAACTTTGGTACGGTCAAATTGAACTTTCTATTATAAATCTAGATTTTGGGGGTGAAATTTTGGCCACTTAAAAGTAATGAATAAAAATAAAAGTCGGTATATAAAATACAATCAAATTAAATTCCCTCCTCACTTCCTTTGTCTATTATAAATCTAGATTTGGGGGGTGAAATTTTGGCCACTTAAAAGTAATGAATAAAAATAAAAGTTGCTATATAAAATAAAACTAAATTAAATTCCCTCCTCACTTCCTTTGTTTAGCTTGGGAACTGACCCCTTGATGACCTTAAAATCATATCCCCTCCAGCCAGGATCTTTTTTGTGCACACTTGGTGCTGTCCTCTTCCATATGGGTTTTCTTTGTGCCATCTCTATTTCCTCATGTAGCACACTGGGGCTGGGACTGTGATATTCAGAACAAATGTAGTGGCCCCGTGGTCACTGAGGGAGAAAACCGTTATAGAAACTTTTACATATCTTTAACAGTTTTTGTTTCTTTGTTGTCCTTCCAGTTTCATCCTTTAATGGGTAGAGATTAATTAGGTACTTTGCCAAATTTCCTATGAAGGTGGAATATTTAAAGGATCAGAGTGTCACAGAGCTAGATCAAGAAGGGAACTCAGAAGCCATCTAGTAGTCTCTTTTTACCAATAAGGAAAGTGAGGCCCACATTATTTATAGATATAGATGATCAGAGAGGCGTAATTTGAACTCAAGTCCTCTGACTCCAGAGCCAGTAGTCTTTCTACTGTAGCTTGTTTTTTTCTATCCAGAGCATTTCACTGTTTCATGATGTAATGCTGCTTATATTTCGCTCTTCTATTCCATCAGATTATAAAGATGAGATTACATTCTAAACTGGCATTGCCCTTAGCTACCATGTCTCTGTGCTTGGTAACACTTCCTTGAGCTCTTCAATTTCTCCTTTATCTTCAGTAGAAGGATGCTGACTGAGAGAAATGTTATTTCTCTCCTGTATTTAAAAATCAATTATTGAATTAGGACCAAAGTTTTCCCCCTTTTCTACTTCCTCATTTAGAAATCAACCAGTGTGGAAACTCTTGGGCAAAGATTTACCCGGTGTGAGAGCTAATCAAACACAGTAAAGAAATTCAAGTTTAAGTGGATGGGTGGATTCCTGCTTACTGTATTTACTCAGACAGGTCTGGGAAAATGTGGATTCTCCCTTTTGTCAAACTGGAAATTGATAAATCTCAACCAAGATTTGGGTGCTCAGTGTGATATACCTCAAGACCCTCACTGGAATAAGCCCACCTCATTATAAAATTTATTCTCTCATTACTTTTTTTTTAATTTGGGCAAGGCAATTACGGTTAAGTGACT